CCCCCGCCCACTGGTTCCTTCCTCCAAAGCGAAGGGGAAGTGGGCAGACGAGGCTGGGAGGGGGAGTCTGAGGCCGGAGGGGCCCCCGTGGGGCTGCCCTGCCTGTGGGTCCCGACTCCAGGGTCCCGGCCCAGAGGCGCCGCCCCTGGGTCGAGGCAGGTCCCGCTGCAGGAAAAGGCACCGGGGCGGCATCTGGCGAGGGGTCCCTTGCAGCTGAGAGGGTGGAGCGGGGGCAGGGGGGACCCAGGTGTCCCGGACACACATGGCTGTAACAGGGGACAGTACAAATGAAAGCAGAGGGGTGCAGGTCGGGAGTGAGGGGCACCAGTTAGTATCAGTGTTGTATCCACCAGGCAAAGTATTAACAACTTCAACAGAACTTTATTTACAGTGCAAGTCTCTTCTCCAAGCTGTAGCTGCCCACTCTGTAACTCTCCCAGCCTCCTCAACTCCTCCCCCTCCTTCCTGATTCCTGTCCTTTCAGACCCCCAACAGCCAGTGCTCCCAGTTCTAATAATTACAAGTAGCATCTAAACACCACAATCAGTCTCTCTGGTCTCTCCTCCCCCCGCCCCTGCAGCCTCTGTCCTGGGCTCCTGCCTCCAGTCGGCGCCGGCCCAGACCCCAGTGACCATCGTCATCACCCCGCCGAGCCCCGTGGAGGGAGGGGGCGTCAGTCTGGCCCCACAGCCACCGCCACAGAACTTGGTGATCTGCAGCTGGTTCCGATCAGCGACCGCCACTGATGGAAACAGCCGGATCCTCAGTTACAGTCCAGCTACAAGCCCCCCTCAGACCCCCGGCCCGGCCCACACAGGACGGGAGACATTGGGGCCGGGCTGCGCCCTGAACATCGCGGGGTTAACGCTCAATGACACCGGGAACTACACGGTGCTGATACAGACCCCTGGTTTCCTCACCATCCCAGTGACTCTGCGCGTCTATGGTAAGTGTCACCCCCAGGAGCTGGGCTGACCCTGGGCCCTGCCCTCCCCCCTCCCCTCCCCCAGCGACGGGGATCTGGGCGTCTCCCCTGGGATGAGCCCGGCTGGGTCACGGGGGGAACCTGCCCCCAAACACAGACCCTGCCCTGTATGTGGCACCTGCCCCCAAGAGATCATGACCCAAAACATAGAGATGTGGGGCTCTGGGCCCCCAAACGTCGCCTCCCTGAGGTGGGAGCCAGGACTGAATATAGATGGGGAGTGACCCCCCACCCCCGTGAACAGCTGCTGCTGTCTTAGTTGGTATAATCTGCATTAACCCACTCTGCCGACTGCACAGACCTCCTCACGCAGACCCCACTCCCCCGCCCTCCCCGGATTGAACCCAGGAGTCCTGGCTCCCAGCCCCCCCGCTCTAACCCACCAGCCCCCACTCCCCTCCCTGAGCTGGGGAGAGAACCCTGGAGTCCTGGATCCCAGAACCCCACTCTTTCCCTTGTAGCTGTGTAGCCCTCCAATGAAGTTTGCAGCTGGATAACAGCTCACTACTGCTGCCAGACAGCTGGGTCTGAATCCTCCATAGGGCTGTGGGGAAGGAGCCCCATAGAGCGAGAGCTCCCTTGGGGACTGGATCTAGCCGCTCCCCCCAGTGACTCTCTCTAGTCCCAGAAATGCTGCCCAGGACCACGGTGATGCCCGGCCAAACCCAGGTGTTTGAGAACGGGACCTTCACCCTCACGTGTAACGGCTCCCCCAGCGCCGACACCGTGCTCTGGCTCCGGGATGGGTTGTCCCTCATGCCCAGTGAGCGGCTGGGGCTGTCCCCTGACAACCGGACCCTCACGGTGCTGGGTGTCACCCGGGGCGACGCCGGCGCCTACCAGTGCGTGGTCGGGAACCCCGTCAGCACCGAACGCAGTGAGCCCAGCACCGTGACGCTGGCCTGTGAGTAACTGCAGCCCCGACCCCCCAGCCGCGCTGCCCCTGGCCCTGCCGGCATCACCCAGCCACGGAGATGCAGCTGCCTCTGGGGTAGGGCGGGGGGCTGGTGAAACAGGGACCCCTCACTGGTGCCATCCATCCCCTGACCCTGTCCCACTCTGTGCAGATGGGCCACAGTCTGCCAGGATAGACCCACCAGGACCCATCGCCCTGATCCTCGGGCAGTGGTGCAATTAGAAATCACTTCTTGCCGGTACTGCACTCATGGGAGGGACACAAGGGGGGGCACGTGATCTCCCCACGGAACCCTCCATGTGACACCCCCCCCGCCTGGGGCCCCACCTTCTGCCGAGTGAAGGGGAATCTGTTCTCACCGTGAACACCGTGAAAGACGGTGTTTGGAATCACATGGGCAAGTGCCACGTCCATCGCCCCCACCCCTCTTCTAGTTAGAACCTTCACGGGAACAGGCCAGTCAGTCTGACGGGCGTTTTCCAGGGTCCATGGTGAGCTAAGGTTCCTTAACGGGCCGTTCAACTCGACTTGTCCCTTCATGCGCCGGCTACATACCTTGTGGGCGTTCCCACAGGGGCAAACATGTAGTGAACAGAGCGAATATTCCTAGCGTCAGATACCAAGATGTGATTATGCCATTTCTATGCATGTATCAAGTACCAGCTATTTCACCTACATGACTATTCCCAAAAGAGATTCTGAACAATCACACCACGTACCTGAGACCCTCTGTGCCAGCACCGTGCCCCACTGGGGTTTTGTCTGTTATGTAACAACAGCGATGGAGCCAGTGACATGACTCCGTTTCACCTAAAAGGGCCAGGATAATTGTAGCTGTTTGGGTGTGACTGAGCCTTTAGTCAGGGAGGGCACTGGCTGGCACACATTCCCGTTAATGGGCTACAGGGTTCCTTTGCAGGTGTAGCGGAGTGGTTCCCCGCTCCTGCCCTGTGGGGCTCAAAACAGCCCAGGGGAGGGCTGTGACTGGGGCAAGAAGCCCGGGCTGTTTGGGGCTCAGCTGTGGCCGTGCCCCAATCAGAGCCCAGCTGGCCCCGATAAGAGGTTGGGAGCCAGGAGCTCAGGAGTCTCTCTCTGCATTCAGAGAGAGAAGGGTCTGGCTGCAGGGAGCAGAGACAGGGTACCTGAGTGGAGCAGGGCTGGGGACAGGTAGAGGAGCTGGGGAGCTCCAGCCTGGAAAGCCCCAGGCTGCGGCCTAGCAGAAGGCCAAGGGGTACTGGGGGTTGCAGAGGACAGCCCAGGGCTAGGCCAAGGCAGCAGGTCCAAACCCCCCTTGCCGGTGATGAGTGGCTGATACTGCAGTCTGCCCCAGGGCGTGGGGCTAGATGATAATGGGCAGTAGCCGTATACTGAGGTGAGGTGGGAATAGCGGGTGGGGTTCCCCAGGGAGGGGAGACCCTAAGACTGAGGGGTTACAGCCAGGGGGCAGCACCCCAGGTACAAGGGCACCGGGGTCCAGGGAGGGACTTGGGGGCCAGAGGACAGGCGGATTCCGGCCTGCAGAGGGCGCTCTGGTGCTGGAATGAGCTAATTCCCTGAGACACCAGCAGGAGGCGCCGCAGGGCTGAGTCAGCAGGTAACGTTTTAATGTTTATAAACCTGGTATGTGCTGAGGTGGTTTAAAGTATAACACAGGTTTGCAAATCTGTGACCTTGGCCTCGCTGAGATTTTATTATTATGATTGATTTATTTTGCTGGTCATAATGTGGGAGAGTCTCCTCTCCGCCCTCTGCTCACAAGGTTATATGTGTCTTGTAGCGCTCTTCTGCACACCAATTGGAAGGATTTTTTTTTTCCCAGTAAGTGTGGACTGATTCTTTTCTCTTTGAAGGCATGTCATTTTTTCAGGCTCACACTGATTAACACAGAAAACACTTGGGGCTGTTAAACTTTCTTCAAATCCCATAGAAAATTCAGTTCAGCTACATTTCCCAGTACAGGGATGAAATGGGTGTTTGTATAAACAAACATCAACTTGCTTAACTACTCACTTTCCCCCAAAGACGATGTATTCAGTCTGTTTATATGGAATATGGGAGTTGGGTGAGGAGCCGTTTCAGCCTATGTAGGACTTATTAAAAGACAAATTTTAAGTAGAACTGTATCCTAAACTGCTTTACAGTATTGTACCCAAACATTGCAACTTCCTTTATAGGACCAGAACAGACTCCTGCAACTCTTACCAGCCCACAAAAGGGGTCCATAGTCCATGCAGATAGTCCCATTGTCTTCAATGGGATTGATCAAATGATTATGGGTTTACAGGTTTAGGTTCCAAGTTTGTAAGTTGTTCTGGATGAAACTGACAATGCCGGAGCTGTCGGATCACAAGGAGCTTCATTCGAATAAAGGTGGGCAGATGTGTAAAGTCTTAGCTCCATTGTTAAGATGAGGAACATATTTTCAGCAAAGTTCTTGGCAGATTCCTGAGGTGGCTGGTTTAAGGCCATCAGTGTCCGGCATCATAATCTTCACTAAAAGTTCTCCCACCCACAAAACTGGAAAATGAGGTGTTTGTTTTCTTTGTTTTGCTGCTCCAGTTCCAGTTAACAAAATGCATGTTAGACTAGTTTGGCTGCAAAGAAGAATTCTCTGTACACTGGGGAATATACGTGATTCCTGTCAGGCTGCAGAACTGGGCTGACATCAGAATCCAAACATCCTCTGGTCAGTGCAAGCAGAGGCATTCCTCTAATGATTTGGACTTGCAATGGTAGATACGCTGGAGGGTAGGGATAGGATACAGGGCTACTAGACAAATTGGAGGATTGGGCCAAAAGAAACTGATGAGGTTCAACAAAGACAAGTGCAGAGTCCTGCACTTAGGACGGCAGAATCCCATGCACTGTTACAGACTAGGGACCGACTGGTTAGGCAGCAGTTCTGCAGAAAGGACCTAGGGGTCACAGTGGACGAGAAGCTGGATACGAGTCAACAGTGTGCTCTTGTTGCCAAGAAGGTGTCACGGAGTATTGGGGGACTCAGGGCCCTGCACCCCCGGCTTCCTGCGATTCACCATGACTCTCAGCCAGCCAGTAAAGCAGAAGGTTTATTTGGATGACAGGAGTACAGTCCAAGACAGGTCTTGCAGGCACAGACAACAGGACCCCCCTCAGTTAAGTCCAGCTTGGGGTCCCAGGGCATTCCAGCCCACCCCCCTTCGGGGGGGTCAGAGCCATCTCTGTCTCCCAGCCATCTCTCCAGCTCGCTTCCAGCACTCTGCCCTCAGCGACCCCTCCCACCGCCTTTGTTCAGTTTCCCGGGCTCAGGAGTCACCTGGCCTTCAACCCCTTCCTGGGTTCTCATGTTACACACTCAGGTATGCGCCCTCGGGCAGATCCCATCCTCCAATGCAGACTATCCCAGCCCCACTCCCCTGTCAGCATTCACAGACCACAGTGAGAACAGGCCCAGTTCGTCACAGAAGGCTAACGGCATTTTGGGCTGTATAAGTAGGGGCATTGCCAGCAGATCGAGGGACGTGACTGTTCCCCTCTATTCGACATTGGTGAGGCCTCATCTGGAATACTGTGTCCAGTTTTGGGCCCTGTGACGAACTGGGCCTGTTCTTACTGTGGTGTGTGAATGCTGACAGGGGTGTGTGGCTAGGATAGTCTGCATTGCGGGATGGGAGTCTGCCCGAGGGCGAATACCTGGGCGTGTAGCATGGGAGCCCAGGAAGGGGGGGAGGCCAGGTGACACCTTGGCCCGGGAAACTGAACAAAGGCTGTGGGAGGGGTCGCTGAAGGCAGAGTGCTGGAAGCGGGCTGGAGAGATGGCTGGGAGGCAGAGATGGCTCTGACCCCCCAAAAGGGGGGTGGGCTGGGATGCCCTGGGACCCCAAGCTGGACCTAACTGAGGGGGTCCCTGTTGTCTGTGCCTGCAAGACCTGTCTTGGACTGTATTCCTGTCATCCAAATAAACCTTCTGCTTTACTGGCTGGCTGAGAGTCATGGTGAATCGCAGGAAGCCGGGGGTGCAGGGCCCTGAGTCCCCCAATACTCCGTGACAGGCTCCACACTACAAGAAGGATGTGGAAAAATTGGAAGGAGTGCAGCGGAGGGCAACAAAAATGATTAGGGGTCTGGAGCACATGACTTATGAGGAGAGGCTGAGGGAACTGGGATTGTTTAGTCTGCAGAAGAGAAGAATGAGGGGGGATTTGATAGCTGCTTTCAACTACCTGAAGGGGGTTCCAAAGAGGATGGATCTAGACTGTTCTCAGTGGTGGCAGATGACAGAACAAGGAGTAATGGTCTCAAGTTGCAGTGTGGGAGGTTTAGGTTGGATATTAGGAAAAACTTTTTCACTAGGAGGGTGGTGAAGCACTGGAATGCGTTACCTAGGGAGGTGGTGGAATCTCCATCCTTAGAGGTTTTTAAGGCCCGGCTTGACAAAGCCCTGGCTGGGATGATTTAGTTGGGAATTGGTCCTGCTTTGAGCAGGGGGTTGGACTAGATACTTCCTGAGTAGGGTGACCAGACGTCCCGATATTATCGGGACAGTCCTGATTTTAGGGGACTTGTCCCGCGTCCCGACCTTACATTGGTCGGGATGTCTGGTTGCCCTATATGAGAGGGACCGCGGCAAGCTGGCGCCGACGGTGCCACTCACCTTCCCTCCCTGGGGCAGTGCGCAGCTGAGCTCGCGGCGGTGCCAGCCCACGGGCCCCCCGCCTGGCCGGCAGGACCCTGCAGAGCGCAGCCCAGCCCCTTCCCCGGCACACAGAGCGGCAGGGAGGAGGTCTCGCTCCCCTGCATGCTGCAGTGGGGGGGACCTGTAGACTCCGGCAGCAGTCAATGGTCACGGGGCAGAGAGCCCCCCCCCCCCCCCCGCCCCTGCCTCGCTCCCCTCGACCCGACCCTAGGAAAGGGCCAGAGGGACTGGGGGGGGACCTGCCTGCTGGATGCTTCCTGGGAGCCGCTCCAGGTAAGCACTGCTGGGCTCACCTGGCCCCCTGGGAGGTCCCTCTGGGGG